TTAAACAGATGGCAATGCTCAATATTTTTTTCATGATTGTGTTGGTTTTTTTAATAGACTGGCATCAAAAATGGTGCCAGGTGATGTTAGAACTAGTTTATTATCAGTATTTTATGTTATTTTTGGGAGCGGATTATATGATAAGCAGTTTATTGTATAAACAGGCTTGCCTGGGTAAAGGATTGATCGTGTGCTCAACTTTCTATCTATTACAAGTGTAAGATCGTGCCATGATCTATTTATTGGAATAACAGGGTAGTCCTATAAAAACAAAAGATCCCGGCAGCCGAGGGCTGCCGGGATCTTTATAACTTAACGTTGCTTTATTTTCTTTCTGATACCCATTTGGCAACTGCAGGTGCCAGCTCTTTCTGAGAACGGCTACCCACAAAAACACCAATATGACCACCCGGGAAAGGATATTCCTTTTTTTCTGTGGAGCCTATCTTTTCCATAACCGCTTTGCTGCTTTCGTTCGGGATAATCTTATCATCCGTAGCGTAAACATTCAGGTAAGGTACAGTCATATTCTTCAGATCCACTTTGCGGCCGCCCAATGTCATTTCACCTTTAATCAGCTTATTGTCGCGGAAGAGGTCTTTAATATACTTGCGGTACATCTCGCCGGACATGGCCGGAAGGTCGCTTTTCCAATGTTCCATGCGCAGGAAGTTCAGCATCTTGTCCTTGTCTTCCAATGAGTCCATTACGCTGATGTATTTGGTGATGTTCATGCTTGGATTAAGCATGCCAAAAGCACCATCGATCATTTCGCCGGGTATGACACCGAGGTTATCTACCATTGCATCGATATCAATATGCTTGGCCCATTTAAACAGCATGCATTTATCGGTATCAAAGTCAAAGGGAGCCACATAAGTAGTAAGGCTGGCCAGTTTTTGCGGATACAGGGAGGCGTAGATCATGGAATAGGTACCGGCCTGGCAGATACCCATTTTGTGGATCTTTTTTACATTATTGCTTTTACGCACAAAATCAACGGCATCGTTCATATAACCGTCAATATAATCTTCCATGGTCAGGTAGCGGTCGCCCTTGGTAGGGTAGCCCCAGTCCATAATATAAATATCCAGGCCCTCGTCCAATAGCTTTTTCATCAGGCTGCGATCCTGTTGCAGGTCCAGCACATCATGGCGGTTCAGCATAGCAAAAGATACCAGGACAGGCACTTTACAGGTAGCAGGAGTTTCGCGCTTATAGTGGTAAATTTTTACCTTATCCCGTTGCCATACAAGTTCTTTGGGGGTAACAGCAACATCTACATTATCAATTTGCTTCAGTGTTTCATAGCCTTTCGCGAGCTTTTGGGTCGTGGAAGAAATTTCTTCCAGAATATCTGCGGTATTGAAATTCATTGTGGAAAGATGTTTTTGTTTACGTCAGTAAAGGTATTGTGTTTATTTGTCTTTTAACACAGTTGAGCTATTATTGTAAGCGGTTTTTTTGTAAAATCATTGAACCGGGCGGCACTTTATCTGGTTGATTCTGTATAGCTTGTGTGTATGTTTTTACTGCCATTAATTACTGTATTGCGCCTTTTGTTGGTGATGCGTAAGGACTTACTTAAGCGCTAAGCCTTTATGTATGTGACGCACAGGGTTACTGGGCAATAAAGACCGGCACACGTACCAGGTGTCTTAATGTATTGATAGTTTCGCCAAAGAGCCAGTCTTTAAATACCTTATGGCCATGACTGCCTACGATCAGCAGATCGGCATTCTCTTCCCTTACGATCCTGGCAATTTCCCGGGTCCGGTTATGGAAGCCCAGCACGGTGGAAGTAGTAAAATGATGTTGCTCAAACAAGCTTGCATATTTCTGCAATTGCTCGCGGTCCTTAATGGTTTCATAGTCTTCGGCATTATCACCACTGAAACTGGCGGTAACACTTTCTACAATATGGATCAGCACAAAATGAGCACCGGGTTTTGCCAGCCTCAAAGCGTATTGCAGTACCAGGCTGTCTTTTTCTGAATAGTCGAGGGCAATGGCAATTTTTTTGAAAGAGGAAACACTGCCTTCAGCGATTTCCAATAGTTGCTTGTCGTGAATAGCAATATTGACGGGCGCCCGCTTGCGCCAGATAGGGTAAATGATGGTGATGGCCAGCAATACCAGCATACCCACCGCACCCAGTACCATCAGGCTCTGCAATAAAATGTTGTTTGTTACCCGCCATTCCCTTGGATGC